ACTTGCTCTTTAAATTATCATGCCATTTAGCCTTTAGCACAGTGGTTCCCAACCCAGTCCTCATGGAACCCCTACCAGTCCAGGATTTAGGGATTACCCAGTTGTACCTAAGGTGTTTTTAGAAAAAAGAAAAAAAAAACACCTTGGACACAACAGAGTATTCCCTAAATCCTGGACTGGTAGGGGTTCTTTGAGGACTGATTTGGGAACCACTGCAAGCATGACACAGGTCTTAAAATCTCAAGTGGGTGGTACTTGTTTTGGACACTGGGCTGCATTACAAACCATCACTATGACAGATACACACATCGGTGCAAATATTATTATTATTTATATAGCGCCATCAGATTCCGTAGCGCTGTACAGTGGGTTAATAAAAATTTATACAAAGGGGGGAATTTAGAGGCAAGTGCTCTAGAGCTAAAGTAAGGAGGGTGATAAACATGGTAATCACTTATTTCTCAAACTTAATGCAGCTGTTATTAACATTTCACTACCTTTTTCTTTGCGTGAATCCACTTAACATATTCCCAACAGATTATCTATTCAATATAGTAATTGCCGCTTGAAGATCTGACATTTTTTCTGTGTGGAGGTGATTACCTTGTAATTGCACCAGAATTTATCAAACACTCACGGATAGCTGCTGATTAAATACAAATGTGAAATAATTAAATAAATAAAACATGGAGGGCATAATGGCAATTACCAATCAGAATCTAAAACCTACAACAAAGGGGTTACAGCTTCGTGTCTGAAAGAAAGACACACCGATCGTGAAATATCGCATTAGTACACTGGCCACTTAATAACTCAACGAATATATGGAGAACTCTATTCTGAAGGTGCCTTCCCGATTATTATGGGGGGATAACCTCTCCCACTGTTTCATTTTTTATAAATATTCAGAGATTTGAATTAACCCAAATCATACTTACAATTTTACACTTTGCACAAATTAACCTTTACACAAATCATACATACAAATTTACACCTTGAAGATATTTCAGGTCCCAGTGAGGTCTGTTTGACCAAATCCTAAGTCGCCAATGGCTAAACCACATTATCCATGACCAGCCAGCACAGTAAGGGTCCTGAGAATGTGATCTGCATTTGCCAGAATGCCCTGTCAAACATTTGCATTGCACAAGTTTAGCCATCACTACACAAATATATTGTTAGAAATTCTGACATTTTAAAAACTACTGTTAAGTTGCGAAACAAATTGTCTAAGCCTATGATTGGTTGGTTTTCACAAGTATTCATAAGATACTGTGCATTGTTTCTTGTAGTGTAACTGCGGTACGACTACCAGATGCCGTTACGTTCATTGTGTACGAGTTTTGGGACACAGAGGAGGAATGGAAGAGGTGAGTGGGGTATGTTTGGGTGAAGCATACAAAACATTATGGGACCAAAAATTAATTTAATAAAAAATGGTTGGTGTAAAAAAAAAAAAAAACTTGAAAAGACTCTGTAGTAGAGTTTTAAATGTGAAAAGCATAATTTTCTGCACAAAACAATTTGTATTTGATGGCTGTGTTCAGGCTGTGGCTTCTACATCACATGGAATCTCAACCTTCTATATAGAGGGTTGGTTTATTTTTCATTTACTTCTGCCGTGTATTTCCATGGAAATTGCCAATTTTTCATGAAATAAACGAACACTATATGTACGAAATTCCATGTGAGGTTTCAGTCTCAGGAGTGCAATTGGTCGGCCATTTGTAGTTTGCCTTTGAACGTTAAAGGGATACTATAAGCACCGAAACAAATTTAGCTTAGTGCGCTGTAGTGGTTATGGTGCCAGGTGTGCCTTTGCACCCTTCCAGGGTAAGTAGTCAAACCGTTTAACAATTTAATAACTTACCTGAGGTGCCAGTCAACTCCTCCAGAAAAGCCAGTAAGTTTCTGCACTGATCTAGCCAAGCACTAGGCACTTTTACTCAATGGGTTGACCCTACATTAAAAGGCTTGGCTCAGGGAGCTAACACGTACTCCATCAAGAAACTTCCAGCTCTCCTGGAGGCTGTGATGGGCACTCTGGACCACAGGAAAATTGTTTAGCAAAAAAAAAAAAACAATTGGCAAAAGGTTTGACTCCTTATCCTGGGAAGGTGCCAGGGTATCTCTTGGCATTATAACCACTTGGTCTGAATTTACAATATTCTAAGTGTAAAGTGTATAACGAAAGCTTGAGAACGTCTCTGAAACCTTTGCTTGGTATGTATTGCTTGTGTCCATATCAACTGAAAATTTCTGCACCCAATAACTAGCATGGTTTGATTTCTTGAAATATAATATCACTTTAACAAAGTGCCAGGATTTTGGTTAAAGGGACACTGTAGGCACCCAGACCTATTCAGCTCATTGAAATGTCCCTTAACCCTACAGTGGTAATTATTTCAGTTTCTGAGAAACTGCAATAATTACCTTGCAGGGTTTACTCCACCTCTAGTGGCTGTCTACCAAACAGCCACTAAAGGGACTTCTGGGTGTTTAGACAACTTTTGTCGTCTAAATGATGCTGGATGTCCACACGCTATGCATGAGGACTTCCAGCATCACCGGAATCCTATGGGGAAATTCTAATGTGAGCGCAGTCATTGCCTGACTTCGGCGGGTGAGGAGCGTGGGCAGAGCCCGAGCCAGCACAGAGAAACATCGGCGCTGGTGTGTAACTGAAGTGGTTTTAACCCTTTCAGCGCCTTGGGAGGAGGGGCGCAAGGGAGAGTGGCACTGTTAGATTCTATAGTGCCAGGAAAACGGCTTTGTTTTCCTGGCACTATAGAATCCTCTTATGGCAATGATTGCAAAAAACATGTAAGGCTGAGAGGTAGCAAACCTTTTCCATTCCATTTTGTATGGCTAAAACTACAGGTAATCTTGATCAACTGTCAAAGTACCAAAGGTAACCCATTAGAGTTTAATATTGTTTACAAATTGTCTATCATTTAAAATAAATTCTTCTTTTTTATTAGGCACTTACAAAGTGGACCATGTAAAGCGTTCCAACATGTCAAGGTCGATGCTCTAACACAGCCTGAAGCAGTTTCTAGTGTGTGCGTGCCAGGTAAGGCCTGATTTCATATGTGAGCATCTTTAAAAGAGGGAGATAACTTTCACTAAAGAAATTCACCATGCATCATAACCACTCTAATCAGCTGTAGTGGTCATGATGCTGAGAGTGCCCTTATAGCCTCTACTGCTATTTAATTAATCAAACAGTTTAGTAACAATTTGACTTTTTACCAAGGTTCTGCCGGGTGCAACTCCACACCAGCACTTTTTCCGAAGCTCACTTCATTGAGCCACGTCTGATGGTGCCTTGCTTAGTATCAGCCAATTGTGTTAATGCCTAATGGAGCCTGGCAGGACTGGGGACATAATACACTGACATGCAACAGCTAAATCCTTAGCCCTTATCCAGACCTTCAGCAGGGCCCTCAGACAGCAGCAGCTGAAATGAAGAAAGGCAGGGCTCTGCATACACGCCTAAACAGGGAATCTACAGGCAGGAAACTTAGGCAACTAAATGGCAGCCAAGAGACAGGAGGATAAGCACCTGAGCAAACAAGCATCGGTCTCCACCTTCTGCCCCCAGTCAAAACTATTTACTGAATGAGTAAGCAGGGGGCTCTAATGGCACTGAGACAAACCCTAACAGTCAGACCGGCTCCAGCTGAGGCAGCCCACTAGGAAATCTCCCAGCATCCCCTAGGCCAGTCTGGCACCGTTTGCTGTTATCATTGCTTGCCCATTTTAGCCACATTCACTACAATTCAGCAATTCAACCCTAGCATGAAGTATTAATCATTATCTAGAAGTAGAGATGTTGCAAATTAAGAAGAATATTTACTGAAGATACTCACATTTTGCAAACATCTGATTCTCTTTCAGCTGCCTGGTGTACCTTAAGCAGAGATTGACAGCGCTCTTTGGAAAGGCAGCCCGAAGTCGGCTGTAGCATCAGTTACCCACTGAGCCTTGTCTCTTCATTCGACTTGAAGCCCTCGTAATTTTCTGGACGAGATGCATCCAACTACTTTGTACTAAGTGCTGTCTTTTAAATCCACTTAGTGGGGAATGTATTTGCTTGTAAAAGGGAAACTCCTGTAACCTTTCCTCTTTAACCCCAAACAATTGCCTCAAAAGATCTACGTTTGAATGGTTCCTCATTAGAGGCAAACAAAAATAAAAATACTAAAAAAGCAAACAAAAAAAAACTTAGTTTTGTAAACTTTGATTGAGGGTAGACTGCAGATTAAAACCTGTTTAAGATAGGTGCGGATGGTACACTATTCTACAATCATTTCCTCCCACCATCAGTTTTAGAGAAAAAACGTGCTCATGGTCTACAAAATATAAACATCACCTTCTCTGCTTTTGGATTCTATGAAATGTAAATTGTAATGTCTGGTTCCTACTGCCTAAAAAGTCTTAGCTACCCAGGTCAAGTTAAATGGTCCTAGATTTGTCCTGTTCCTTTATTCCTCAGGTCACCGTTTTACCTTCTGGCAGTAGACTGAACCCCGCTGGTTTGTTTTGTTTTATAACGATGCATGGTTTAGATTAGACGTTCAGTGCTCAGGGAGCCTCAGTATCCGCTCCTGTGTTATCCGGTAACACGTTTTTGTTTTGTTTTTTAATCAGTAGGACTGAGATATGCAGAAGCTTAATGGAATGTTCAATTTTTTCAATGTAATGTTTCCTATTCTATAACTCTATATGTAAACAGATTACTATTCGTATGGGTTTTACTGCAATGCAGGATGCTAGGAAATGCTATTTTAAATTAACAATTTATTATAGGATATGTACAGCAGATATACCTAATAAAACTCATATAAGGTTTACTGTATTTTTTACTGTGTGGTTTGTGTCACTATCAATTCTTTTAAAGGAACACTAAGCACCAGAAGCACTACAGCTTAATGTTCTGGGGCAGAGAGGCTATCCATACAGTGTAAACACTGCCTTTTAAAAGAAAAGGCAGTGTTTCTATTAATTCTTACCACCACCTTTAGTGGCTATCAGAGTGAGTCCTGCAATCTTTGCATGGAGACGCTGAACATCAATCGTGCAGAGTTTCCTCCCTGCCATCAACACTACTGCTGGGGGCAAATGCATCTAAATAGCCCTAAGACCACTCTAACGTTAGGAGTGCATATTTGTATTCCCAACATTAGAGTGTTTCTTTAAGCAATAAATCTGCAAGGCATCCCCCCAGTCATTCCTGCCTTACCCTGTCCATCCCATGCAAATTTTCTAGAGAACTGGGTGAGTGCCTTCAGCATTTCAAATCCCTATGCACATTTTAATAACTGGATATATTTAGTACAGCCCCAGTGGCAGGTGAGCTTGCACTTTAACGGCTATTGGTATAAATGGTACTGAAAACTTCAGTTCTTTAAATGTGCATATGGATGTGGGATAGTGTGCATGTAATTTCTTCTGGTTTTTATGCTATTCAGACCTACTTGAGTGCTGATGTCACAAAGGAGGGATGAAACAGAGTTTTGAGTAAAACAGGAAGTCCTATTAATCATGGACACCCTTTCTCCTACAAAAGGCTGTTATAGCTGCATACACCCAAACATTGATGTCCCAAGTGGAACACTGGTGGGAGGAATTTAAAGAGGGCAGGTCCGGACTAATTACTGGCAGGTCAGCTTGGCGTAAATGCTCGCTGTAGGGTACTAGTGCCCTTAGCATATCACCAGATGTGTCTATTGATAATTCAGTGTATTTTGGGGACACTACGCATTTTGGAGACAGTTCTCTGGTATCCCAAGACGGGTCACCAAAGAACAAAGTTGGGACAGAATCTAAAAATTAGGACTTTCTCGCCCAAATCGTCCATTGGGAGGCAAGTACTTTCCCTGCAAACTATGTACATCATACATACACTGAATTATCAAAAATACAAAATTTATTGCAAATTTTAGGTATAAATTACTTTAAAAACTCTTCCAATTCAGTTGTTTTGGCTTAAATGTGACACATTTATGAAAAATTATGATAGTGGTTTATTTACTAAACTGGACATTTTAAGCCAAAATATCTGAATTGGAAAAATTCGCAAACTTAAGTATTGGTACTCTGGCTTTAAAATGTGTCCATTCTCCACAATTTTGGTTTAGTGAATGACCACTACATACAAAGATGGTTTAGGGTAGATTTATCTTAAACCATTCACAGGGTGATTAGACATCCCAGTTTTCCCGCGATCTTCCTGGTTTGCACCCGTTTGTCCCACATGAATGTCCCAGTTTTGCAGAGCCGGCCGCCAAGGCCGACAGGGGAGATCCTTTCATCTCCCCTGCCAGCCTCATGCAGAGCAGGCTCTGCTACCTGCCTTCCTGGGCCATTTTGGAGATCAAAGATCTCCCTTACCCGCCCCAATGCAAATTTGCAGCTGCAGAGGGAGATATGGAGCTGAGCCTGGGAGGCAACACGCTCCTCCCACGAGTAGGCAGGTCAGAGCGTTGCCGCAAGTTACCATGGCAACGTTCTGACATTGCACTGTACTAGCAGGAGGAGAGTGGGGCTGCAGGCTGAACTGCTTGTGCCACCACTGGTCCGCCTGGGATTCAAATTAGTTAAAATTACAAATTTAGTTTTTTGGGTTTTTTTTAATATACACACACACGCACTGAGCCTCTACTCACACTATGCCCCCTCCAGACACTGAACCCCTACACAGACTACACCCCACCACACACATTGAACCCCTCCTCACACTGCACCCCTCCACACACACACCCTGCACCTTCCACAAACTCACTAATCCCCCACACTGCACCCTCCAACACCCTCACTGCAGTCTGCCTCTGTTTGTGTGTATTCAGCAGCCTGTCTTTGTTTGTGAATTTTGAGAGAGAAGTCTGAGTATATATTGTATTTGTTGGAGGTACACTTGCATTGACAAAAAAAATCTAATTAATCCAGTTTGGCTTTCTATATCGTTACCTACAATTACACATTGAATACACAAGCTTAAAAAAAAATTGCAAAAACAAACACTAGTGGTGACTTGCAGGGCTTCACCACAGTGCCCTTAAAAAAAATTCATCAAGAATCAGCAATTTTCTAAATCTTTCCATTTAACTTTAGTAAATTACCCCCACATGTGCCATAGACTTAATGTTATGTTATATATTATATACCTGCAAAAACAATATTGACTTTGATTTTGCAATTCCAGCGAGAATTTCCAGTTTAGGGAATAGCACCAGATGTGTTGCTTTGGTCCCCAATACAAGTAACACGTCATTGTATTGATCTGTTTTTAGATAGAATGTCTCTCAAAACACAGACTTACCTTTCTTTTTTTATTTGAAGATTTGACCGATATGCTCACCCCTCCAGCTCACATACCTAGAATAATCTTCTAGAACGTAATTGAAAAAACGCAACTTGTGCAGAGTTCCACAAACCATTAAGCTAAGAATAGAATCAAAGATAGTTTTAATTAATATTAAAGTGTACTTGCACATAGAATATATACATACGAAGATAACATAATTAAGCACTTAATGGATTACCAAATAATTGGAACTTGCTTATAACCAACAGAAGTAATTTATAAAATTAAAAACACTCCATGTTACAGTAAGAATATTAAAATTCACATTTTAATGATTGGAATGTTTTTGCATTTATAAATAAGCAATTATAAGGACTAAACATTACAAAGCAATTTAAGAGCTGAAGATGTTCTAAGATCAGGATTTGCCGAAAAGAAAACAAACAAGCGAAATGTAATAGTTTTGTTTCAGTTAAATTAAAAAAAAAATGGTCAGTCTTAAATTTAAATTTCAAATATTTTCTACAATATATGCAACAAATTAAAATTGTAAGAATGATACAAAATGTGCAGTTGCTAACAGGATGAAAAAAAACAACAACAAAAAAAACAATGCAATTTAGGTAGCATAATGCACTTGTTCCCATGTTTATTTTTAAAAACAGGCTTGCTTTCTATTTACACACACAAAAGTAAATATGACTTGAGATCTTTGGAGGCCAATCCAATTTGTATAGGTGTGCATAGATGAAGTGGATGGAGAGAAAACATGACAATTCCTAGGGAGACAAATGACACTGTCACTTAAAACACGGACTGAGCATATTTCATTGTCACGTTCATGCTGGCTTCAGGAGTAATTGCCATTTTTTCTTTGCTGCTCATTAGCAGTTTAATTAAATGTTAAGTTGGCTGTTACAATAGTGGACCTCAATTAAATGACTGGCCCAGGTGTATCAGTGGGGGTAGGAGTTCCTATTGCAAGCCAATTAATACACTTTCACCGGCTATATTTCTTGGTAATAAAAACCATTATAGGGTAAAAATTACCAAAATATTTAACAATTGTCCAAGATAAGGCAGTGCTTGCCAAAACTGTTTCTACACCCCAGAGGTTTCTTATTTTAATACACTCGGGGGATAAACGGAGGGTGAGAAACAGGATACAAAAAGATTGAAAAAGTTACAATAAGTACACTGTACATAGCAGGAATGAGATCTTCTAGAACAAAGTACATTATACGTCTCATGTACATATGATCAGAGCAGGCATTCCACCCAGTCTATGTCTGTCTGAAGATTGACCAGGATATCTATGGGTTAGAATTTGAGTTCCTTGGTGTATCAGACTGCCTATAGTTATGGATTAGAAAAGGAAAAGAGAAATGCGTATGTAAGATATGTTGGCAGCCTGTATTTTGGAAGAATTTAATTCAGACAGATCTGTAATATAGCAGTTAAATATATTACTGTTAAAATGTTAAGTCCTTTTAAATAAAAAAAAAATTAAATTAAAAAAGATTTTTAAAAAATCACTTAAAAATAAAAAACATGGGCAAGTCCGTGCATCACTTCGCCAAATTCACCACGTCTTATAACTTAAGTAATTCCATGACTGCAGTTGTTGTGCTTTGACCAAAGATGAAGGCCCCGCAGAGTACTGAAATAATGCCCCAGGCAACCAGACAGTATCTGAAAAAGGCAAGATTGAATACAGTTTCACTCTTTTTGTATCTATAACTTGAACTAGTAGTTTAATGTATCTAGTGAGATCTACGTACTAAGGACTGACTTAATGGACAGTATGAGTGTGTAGGTTCCTCCCCCCCCCTAAAATGGAGTGTGTACAGCAATTCATAACTTATGGAAGATGGCAGTCTCAACCTGGTTTCTATGATAACTTTTGTACATGTACGGTTGTCATGGTCCCGGCGGTCCTGGGGGGCCTGGGCTGCCCTGGGAGTTCCGGGCCCCACATTCCCTATGTACACATATATAGCAATTTACGTGTGTCTGTGTACCTGCGTCTCCCTGTTCACTGCAGAGGGGGCCCAGCACACTCAGACTTCACTTCCCAGCAGCTCCATTGTCTTTAAAGCTCGCAAGCTCCGCGTTCCCATGGCAACGCCCTAGGTTAACATGGCACTGCTCTACGCGGAACGCAGGTTGGTCTCACAAGAGTTAAAGACAGGGGAGCTGCTTGGAAGTGTAGACCGAGTGTGCTTGGTCCCCTCTGCAGTGAACAGCGCCTGACTCCAAACACCATACCACCTGATCACCAGGGAATGCAATCTCTGCAATCACTGGCTACAGGTAAGAAGCAGGGAGGGGGAAATAAAATGAATTTTTTTTTTTTTTTTAAAGTCACAAAAAATAAATGTGCTCTTCCCTCCTTCCCCACCAATTGCAGTCCCTATTTTACATCCACTACATCCCTACACACACTGTGCAGTGGAGGTAGTGTGTGTACAATGAATGCAGTGCGTGTGTTTGTGGAGTGGAGGTGATGTATAGTGAATGCAGTGTTTGTATTCACTATACACAGTACCTCCACTGAACAAACACACCCACTGCATTCACTATACATCACTTCCACTACACAGAAACACTCACTGCATTCACTATACACACTACACAAACACACTGTGCAGTCACTCTACACACACTAGACACACTATATCCCTACACAAACACACACTGCATTCAGTATACACAAACATATATGGTGCAGTCAATATACACATACTACCTCAACTGCACAAACACACACTGCTTTTGCTATACACACTACCTCCACTGCACAAACACTGCATTTACTAGAAACACCACATCCACTACACAAACACACACGTTACATTCACTATACACATCCTCCACTACACAAACATTAACACTACATCCACTACACAAACACTGAATTCACTATATACACTATATCAACTACACAAACATACACACTGAAATCACTATATACCCACACTACATCCACTGCACAAAGCATTTACTATACATTCACTACACAAACACTACATCCACTAAACATACACACACATTGAATTAACTATACACACACTACATCTACTACACAAACACACACTCTGCAGTATCCATACACACTACATGCCTACACAAACACACACTACTCACTCTACATTATAGACACTGCATGCACTACACAAACATACACTATACACACTGGATCTAATACACACACACTACACAAACACACACTCTGCATCTAACATACACTACATGCATTACACAAACGCACAATCTGATTTCACTATACACACGGCATCCATTACACACCACATTCAATATACACACTGCATCTGTGTGGGCAAACTCTGGGGTTGGGCTCTGGGGACCCAGACCTTGAGCTGTGTCAAGGGCCCCAAAATTTCTAATGGCAAACCTGGTTTGACTTCTTATCTGTTCTACTGGGAGCCGCTCTCCACCTCCACTACTTCTCAGGAGCTTCTGTTAGACAATGAGCTAGACCTGCACTGCATGGCTCAGCTCAGGAGAACGGCGAGAGCATCAGCTGATTGCTCTTAGTGACTTAAGCCCTGCAAAAGAGCTTCTGACTATCAGATGTAGTTGAAGTAGGAAGGAGTACCAGGCAAAACACAGGTAACATGTAAAACCATTCTGAAACGGACAAGGGGGGAGGGGGAAGGGGGGAAGCAGTGGCATCTGTGAGCTGTAGTCATAATGGTGCTTGGAGTGTTCCTTTAAGTGATACCAGGTCTCTAATAACAGTAGAATGAGCAGGTCTGGACAGGTTAATAAATATCTGTGCAGCATTCTCAAGAATGAATTAATAAATAGGCACAGGACGTTGTATGGCACATGTTTTGCAAAGATAAAATGTCCACAGGGTCAATAATTAACTACCATCACGTATTTTGGGCCTCTGTTGTGTAGATATCTGGGAAGGGTGGTATACTTGTACCTCTAATGTATACAAAGCACGTATGATATAGGAGCAATTTAAACTCAGACATTATTACGGATCTCCAACTAAGCCAATAATGTTGTGCAGTAATAGGTTCTCCCCTCATCACTTACTTCTTCCTTCGCTCTATTGACTGTAGTTGCATAGCACATATCAGGCACAGCCCTGCAAAACAGTAGTAAAATAAACCATAAATAAATCAAGCTCTAACAAAGAATGAAGAAAATCGAAATTTAGAATTTGATTCAAGACTTAATACCATGTTCCAACATATTGGTATGCAGTAGTGTTGAGTTCCATATATCCATTTACTGTCACTATAAAACCATCTACAAAAGGTAGATACCCAGATGTTTTAAAACTACAGCTTCCATGATGCTTGTCATTCTAAAAGGCATGCAAAGCATCAGGGGAGTTGTAGTTCTATTACTGGGTATCTACCCTTTGGGCACCCATGATCTACAAGGTTCTTAGGTGCCCTTGAGTAGTTCCAATTTTAATGCGTATGGGGTAATAGGGTTTTCAGTGTGATTTACTTACACCTTTACTTTACACAGGAAAGAGTGCAGAATGATCAAACAACTGGTCACAGACTAGACTAGGCTTCCCTAAACTCCGGCCCTCCAGATGTTGCTGAACTACAACTCCCATGATTCTACGAATGAAATAGATAGACTGAGAATCATGGCAGTTGTAGTTCAGAAACATCTGGAGCGCTGGAGTTTGGGGAAGCCTGGACTAGACGGAGAAATGAAGTTTTAAAAAGGTAAAGAACATTTTATATATTCTTAGAACATGTCTTTTCTCGAATTTACACCATTAAATAAAATGTTGAAAAACACCTATAACTTGTGCAAACTATTTTTCATGAGATGTTCACTTTTAAATTTATATTAAATATTTAGCAGGTGACATCAGAATACAGTTCTAGCAAGGCACAACCAGGGCAAACATTCTTCCCACTGACTGCCAGGTGTAAAGGACAGCGCTCATAATGAGACTGTAAGGTGTGAAAAATTAAATGTAGAATTCCACAAATATAAATTAAATATTGAGATAAGCAAAAAAAAATTTTGGGATGTTGAAGTTCCCCTTAACTCTCCCAAAGCAAGTCTTGCTTTATACTTCCATATTCTTTGCGCATGCATTATAGTTTTTATACTAGCGCAGTCAAATACATAGGCTGCTGGTCATGTAAGCATTTTTACAAGAAACTTCAGTCTCTTTGTATAAGTTTGGGGAATCACAGGCTGAATCCTACATCCAGGCATAGGTGTGTTCAAGGTACCAAAATCTATATCTAGA